AAAAACAGCCCGGGATGAAAATGTGGCCTTGGGCAAGAAGGGTCGGAACTGTTGGGGGCCCCGCATGGGAGACAATCAGGCCACAAGATCTTTGGGACCCAGGTCTTTGCCAGATCCAGCGGGGAAAACGAAGACTGAAAAACGTCTCGGCCCACGGCTGTACCCCGCATTTGCGAGGTCCTGGCCTCGCAAACGGGATCTGACCGGCCCGATTGGGCGTCCTCCGCCATGAAAGAAAGCGAGTTCGCCCTCTTCGTGGGTGTTCGTGGCCTGTCGCCGGCTGTTGAAGGTTCCCTCGCCTCGCCATCCTCGCCGACAGCTGCGCCTCACCGAGAGCGTTCCAGGGGTCGTCCCGGACGGCCGCCAGAGACCCGAGTTTGATTGACCCGAGAACCAATGTCGTCATGAAGGAACGGGTTGCTGAGGGAGAGGGGTTCTGTCGGGTACAGCCAGGACCCCGGGTAAGGGGACCCGGTTAGTGGTAGGGCCCCGGAGCCCCTGAATTGACCAGAATCACTAAACCAAGTCTGGCGTGGCTGGTGTTTTTTCGGGTTACGGCAGTTCCGGTTCGTGGAACGGGGCGGGGGGGCTTCCCCCAGTGCACATCATTAAACCAGGTTCCACTGAATCCAGTTCTGCCAACGCCCGATTCTGGAATTGTGTCTCTTCGCTACTTTCGGCTTCTTACCCGGGCCAAGGACCGTCGAGGAAGTTCTCGGGATGAACCGTTGGCCCTCAGGAAAGCCCCCGGGGTCTAAAGCCCGTTTCCTCAGCACCCTTTCGTTGTCACGCCAGGGGAGGCGAGGTTCGCGGCCGGAGGTTTCTTTTCAGCGCTTCTGAGCGTCGAGGCTCGCGGGACGAGTGCCAAGGTTGGCGGGACGAGTGTGTTTCGGGAGGGAAACAAAAGCACAGACACAAGTAACCGTCGATTCCCCAGAGAACATGGGAACAGATGGGAAGTGTGGGGGGGGAGGAAGACGAAAATCCAAAACATATCAAAAATATAGGGAGTCCTGGGATTTGCGTATATATATATATATATATATATATGTGTGTGTGTGTGTGTGTGTGTGTGTGTGTGTGTGTCCCTGGGCCCTGGTAGTGTTGAGAATGAGGTCTTGGAGCGTTCTTGGTCATCCGTGGGCCTCCCGGAGCGCCCCCGTCGCGCCGCGGCGGGGTCCGCCCCGCTGTTCTGGCCAGCGCGGGCCCCTCGGACAGGTTCGGGGGTCGGCCGTGCACCATTGGACCAGTAAGTTTACGTCGGGCACGTTCCCTTTTTATCGTCAAAGCAATAGTCTGGGGACGATGTGTTTAATGTATGTTTGAAGATGTTTTTGGTGTTTGAGCCTTTGTTGAGTATGTTTGATTTCTCGCCCAGAACCGCCTGTGGGGGGACACGCCCGACCTAACAGTAGGTCGGCCATGCCGTGGAATCCCATGCCAAGAAAAAACACCCTGCTTGCATGCAGGGCGCCCTGGGCCTCTTGGGTTTCGATGTGTGTGTATATGTGTGTGTGTATATATATATATATATATATATATATATTGACGTTGATATTGATATGGAGCGCGCGACGCTCCCGCATCAAAAACAACTCCACCTCCTCCTCCTCCTCCTTCTCATCCTCCTAATGCTCCTCCTACGTGCTTGCTCCTCCTCCTCCTCCTCCTCCTCCTCCTCCTTCTCATCCTCCTAATGCTTTTCCTACGTGCTTGCTCCTCCTCCTCCTCCTCCTCCTCCTCCTCCTCCTCCTCCAGCAATGGACGCCCTGGGCTCGTGGAAGTTCTCCTGTGGAAGGTCTCTTGTGGTCGGGCTCCTCCCGAGAGGGGCACGGGGCCTGGAGGAGCGGGGGTCCCTGGAGAACTCCTGCTCCCCTTCTTTTCCGTGCTCCCCGGGGTGCCCCCCCCCCTGGGCACCCTGGCGGTGATAAGAAACTGTGGACGCACAGTCCCAGACATCCTGGCGTCTCGAAGGAATCGAGGCGGAGGTTCTCCATCGTTTTCGGCTTCTCGGGGCCCTTGCTGGGCCTCGGGACCGTCAACAGAAGCGACTCGGGGTGAGAAACCGGTCCCAGGGAAGTGGTCGAGAGGTCGGGGGCCCGTGTCTCGAAAAGATCGAGACGCCCGATGCTTGGGGTTGGAAGGAGCGGGGTCCTGGAGCCCCTGCTCGCCGCCTCTGTGCTCTTGGGGCCCTTCTTGGGCAGCCTGGTTGTGAAAAAGGCTTGAGATGCAAAGCTGAGCTCAAGAAAAGCCTTGGGGCTCCTGGGGCCCCAGCCGGCGACGGCGCCGCCAGGGGGGGGGATCCCCCCCCCCCCTCCCTGGAGGTTCGGGGAGGGGGGTGAGGGGTGGAGAGTCCCACTGGTTCTGTTCGACGGCGCCGCATGTTCCGGGGGGGGGGGCGGCTCCCCCGGTTCAGACGCGCCGCCGAATGCTCCCAAGGCAAGCTCCCGTCAAACGCGCTCCCTCCAAGAACAGCCATGGGGTTGAGGACCCCAGCCCCAGTGGGCCGGGGCCATTGCGCCACCAGCCTAACCGCCCCCACCCGATGTGGGGATAGATGCCGCGAAACACGACGAAGGCTTTTCGGGTTGGGGGAAGGAGAAGAGACACCAACACCACCAGGGGGCCACCTCCAGCGAAGAGGTCCACGATGCCTCCCCGAGCTGGGGATAGGGGATGTCTCGAGCGAGAGGAGGGACCACACCACTAGGGGAACCCCTCCCTGGCTCCTCCCGCTGGTGGTCCCTGGTGGTGTTGGAGTCGGTTTTCCGAGTTCCTACCAAGGGGGGTATGTCGGACAGCCAGGCTATGGCGTTTCAAGTAAGGAAGCGGACAGTTCAGCGCGATGTTGACAAGTGGTGGCCTTCGGCCCACCCCGCCACCGCCCCTGGGTCTTGGCCCAACAGGCCTCCAAGAGGCCTCTTGGAGGCCTGTTTGGGGCCTGTTGGGGGTCTCCTCGGGACCCCTTGCGGGCTCCTGGGGTTTCTCTTACGGTTCAACGGCGCTGACACAGATACGTTCGATCGGAGCGATGCCAGCGCTTCCATCAGGGTTCTAATCGGAGCTCTAATCCAGAGGTCCGGTTGGTCCCTCCCACTTCTTCTTCTTCTTCTTCTTCTTCTTCTTCTTCTTCTTCTTCTTCTTCTTCCGGCGCTGCCGGCGCCCAGGCACCTGTTCCACGCAGAGTGCCTGGACCCGTGGGTCGAGGCCCCCGGCCCCGGCTGGTGTCTTCGGCCGCGCGCCTCCTTGCACTCGGCCGCTGCGGGGCAGGGAAGGGTCAGGAGGGGAAAAAACACACAGACACAATGAGTTATCGATTCCAAGGAAAAGATGCGAAACTATGGGAAGTGGGGGGGAAGACGAACATCCAGAAAATATAGGAAAATATAGGGGAATCCGGTCAATTGTGTCTATTTATTTGTGTGTCCCAGGGCCCCTTGAAAGAGGGAGCAGCAGCAGTAGGATCCGACATGCTCCGATTTGGTCTCGGGGATCTCCCGGGACTCTTCGAGGACTCCCGAGGTTCTTTTCAGGATTTCCCAGGATTCTTCGAGCTTCCCGGTGTCCTGCGGGTTCTTCCAGGATCTCCCAAGGCTTCGGAGGCCCCCCGCCGTGCTGAGATCCGGGGGGGGGAGAGCTCCCCAATCGGCGGACCAGCGCCGGCAGGGAGCAGACGGAGTTGCAAAAGCCTGGGCTCGTATTCCGCAGTCCGTCCCCAGCGGGAGGAGGAGCAGCAGGAGAGAGAGAGAGAGAGGAGGTCGACGACGGCCGCGAGACTACGAGAAGAGAGGCTGCAGGCTTGAGGGTGAGGGAGGAGGAGATTGGAGGAGGAAGCAGGAGACGGAGGTGGCAGAGGAGGCGGCTCTGGCTCCTGTGTGCCGAGCTTGCCGAGTCCTGCCCAGGAAAACCGACCAGGGAGGGTGCGAGGGCAAGGCAGCAGACGCATGGAGAGGGGAACGCGGATAGCTTCGAACCTGCCGCGCCGAAGACCGCGCGCAGAGCGTTCCGCGAGATCCCGACTGCGCTAGCCGACGAGAGTGCCCATCGAGCAAACCATCGAAGGTGTGGCACATGTGGCTGACAGCGAAGCAGTTTGGCGCGTACTGCCAGCCTTGGCAAGAGAGGTGCGAGCGCCGAGGGGCACCGTTCGATGTGGCAGGACCGGAGCGCCTCGGCGGAGGGATCAGCAAGGAACGCCCTTCACAACGAGGGCTCGGCGTCTTTGCGCCGCGGATCCCCACTTCCGTCACGCACTCGGGGACAGTGTGATGTAGTTTCTTCCCGTCAATTTGGCTCAGTTCTCGTTGGTGCAGCCGATGCTTATGATGTGTGTCGTTCGTTTTCTGTTTGTCCATCGCTGTGTGTACATACGTTCTTGGGTCCGCGCGTGCGTGCGTGCATGCGTGTGACTCCAGAAGTTGGTGTGTGGAACAGATGCGTCCATATGGTATATCCGAACGAGCGGTCGTGTGTCATCATGGCGATTTCGTTCTCATTGGTTTGGGTCTTTTCGGTGGAGGGCAGCATCGTGGTCCAGAGGGTGGCAGCCACTGTATTCTTCTCTTGTTTAGCATTACCCACGCTTGCACTGGACGCAATGGTGATTCGCTTGCCCGTTGCATCCGCAGGGCCGTCCCATGCACTACCCTAAGCATGGAAGGGGGGGGGGAAAGGGGGTAGGGGGGCGAAAGCCTGGCGGAATGACAAGAACACGCACAGAGAGAACGAGAGACAGAGATAGAGAGAGAGAGAGAGTATGGCGGGGGAGCACGGGGTCATTATTATGATCGAGAAATAGGGATGGGAATGACTTGCCTTGCCATCCTTCCCTCTCCATCGCAATCCGGGGCCACCTCCAGAGGATGTTGCGCAGCTGGGACCACCTCCGGGGACCTGGTTTGACCCAGTGGATTCGGCCTCAGCACCCCGGCGTCGCCTCTTGCGGCATCCCCTGCGGTGGCAACCATTAGATCCTGGCGTCTCATTTTCTTCGAGCTAGG